GATGAGTCGCTCATCGAAGAGGTTTATTGATTGATCATCTCCCAATTAATTGAATCGTAAGTGTCATAATTTATGTATTTAATTTAATTCTAAAGTGATCCGATTGCGCTAATAAAAATAATAATAATAATAGAAGAAGCCTCTTGACTCCACGCATGCTCTGCTTGGCTTAGGTATATGTAACTTAGTTGGTATAACTTCATTTATACAATTAAGTTATTGTGATTACGCATTGGATATTTAATTATTCCAACAATAATAATAATATTTCGTATTTTAATAGGTGACTCAATTTTCATAAACAATAACGAATATGATAGAAATATACAATTGAAAAGACTCCACGGAGACATAACAAACTTTTTATAAACAAGATAACATTTTTCTTCCAATTTTTAGAGAAAGATGAATTTTGGCCAAAAATACAAAATATTATTAGATAAAAGTATAGTTTTAATATATATATATATATTGAAAGTTAGAGATGGATATTTTTTATAAATAATTTAAACGAGGTCAATAATATTTTCAATTCATATATTTGTTATATTTATTTTTTTGTTAATTAACAACTTTACTATATTAAAATAAAAATAATATTACTTATAATTAATAATCCAATTATTTTAACCCTAAGTACCATCCAACGCTCAATCCATGTAAAATCCCATATCAATGGTTAAATTTTGAGTTAATTCGAGTTTAATTGTGGATTCGATATGTATTTATTAAAAATTATGTATATAATTATTTATTTATTTATTTATTTATTCTAAATTTGGGTTAAACTTTCTTAAAGGAAAAAAAAAAGGAGATAAAGTTGTAATGAAAGAGGAGGAAAAAGAAGGAGAATAATCAAGTAAAGATTATATAGCTATAAAACTCATCTCAACCATAGCATACATCCGGTCATACGTGATACAGCGTAAGTATTATATGAGCAATACAGAGTGACTCGTCAGCTCTGAACTTTCATAAACGACGTCGCATCTACATCGGCTCTGAAACTTTCATGAACGACGTCGCATCTGCCTTTATTCTTGTTTTTTTTTCATTATTATTATTATTATTATTATTATTATTATTATTTTATGACGATGCATGCATGCTCTGCTAATCTCTTCTCATGTCAACTCGATTTCTTCACTTGATTCTGCACCACAAAAACAAGCAAATCAAGAAAATTAGATACACAATGGACCGTTCATATATATTTATGTACATATATATATATATATATATATCTTTATTAAAGATTTGAGTACTTACGTGTTGCAGTTGGTGCTGGTGCTGATCTTGTAGGGAATGCTGACGCCGCATTGACCGGGAAGACTAGCAGCAATGTTCTGATCAAAGTTGGTAGACCTGGCCGCATTCTGCAGACACTGGCAAGCGGCTCTTCGATCCGGCGTCGTTTGGGCTGCGCTGTTAAGGTTCCTGACACCGGCGCAGCATGCTGCCGGCGGAGAATTACCAGCTTGGCCTTGCAAGTAAGTGAGACATGGCCCAAGCGCAGACGCTACTTGGCCGCACGTCAGAGCCTCGCTGGTAAGAGCCCCAGCCACTACCATAAACAACACCAAACCAAAAGCCAACTTCACGATCGCCATGCTTATCTCTGAATTCCTCACTCTTTTTTTCTTTTCTTCTTTCTGATCTATGCCTTGTGAGGAAAGATGAGGGCTCGGCTGGGTGTTATATAGTGAGAGAGCTGGAGGGGAGAGTGTGTAGAAGTATGAAAGTCGGGTGATGGGCTAGTTGGTGGTTGGGCCAATTTTAATTCAATAAGTTGCCGCACATTTATACATTTTTTGAATTTACAGGACATGAGGATTTAATTAATAATTTTATTTTTGTAGTTGTGTACTTGACAAGTAAATTGTAGCCAATTACACTTAAATTTTAGAAATCTATCAAATCGTGTACATAATTTTTCAATCTCTTATATTATTACTATTACTACTTTATATATTTATTTGCATATCACATTACATTATAAAAATTATATACTATAGATTTAATTATTTAATGTAATATATTAATCAAATCCCCAAAGAAATTAAATTTGATATTTAAAGATGTTGGTTTATTTCATTAATTTCAATATATGTGATTTAATCAATAGGTTATATAATATGATATTGTTAATTTAAACATATAAATATCTTGAATGTTTAAAAAAATTTAATACACATATATTTAATTTGAATTTTTTCAAATTTAAATTTTTAATAATTTGGAGGTCCTTCAATGACCATGATTTTGATATCAAACATTCGTTCTATTTTTTAAGTTTCCTAACTATTATTTCAAATATATATATATATATCCAATACCTTATATAAATCTCATACTGTAATATTTTTACAAATAGTAAATTTAATTATACATATAACATTAATTAATTTACACTATAATTTAAGAATATGTTTATGTTAATAAGTTTTTAGGGTGTAAAAAAGTTTAATTTTATAATCTTAACTATCAATAATACAATTTTGTTTTAATGATAAAAATATTATATTGAGTTTTTAATTTATTACGATTATTCAACTAAATAAACATAATTGTCAAAATGTTTATTTGGATCATAAAGGTAATAGATTTAGTGAAACTTATTCATAATTAGTCGTTAAAATTCTATTAACATACTAATAAATTAAATTTTAATTTCGCTATTAATAATATAGTAATGCTATTATAAGTGCGTATATTTATTAAATTTAACTCTTAAGAATGTTGATTAAATGTTTTAAATCATCCCAATAAGAACTTATAGGAATTTGAAGAGATTTAAAAACTCTTATTTATTTTTTTTTCTGAAAAAGTTTCCAAATAATTAGTTTACAAACCTTATTTTCCGTAACTCTTTAAAAAAATTCACACACACCGGAAAGCTCCAAATGATGAAAGACTTTTTTGGTAAGGCGCTTTTAATTTGTCAAATCTGCGCCGTACACCCAGCAGCCCAGCCCATAAAAAATTGACACGTGGACAAGCGGGTTTTGACTGTACATACATCCATGGCCGTAACGTGAAATTTATAGCCTTCGACTTCTGCAGTTCAATTAATTTGCCAACAATTTAATAAATAAATAATTTTATTATGTGGGACTAGGGGGCTCGGTTTGAGCCGAATCGGCCCATTCAAACCGCTTTTGTTCACAACGGGATTTAAGTTCGCTGACTCGAGCCAATCCAAATAAATAATACATGTTTGGTTGAATAAAAAAGTAAAATTTTTTTACTTTTTAATTATCTTCTAATTAATTAAACCGTAAGTGTGATATTTATTTCACTGAGTGATGTATCTAGTTCAAGTCCATAATAGCCTAGCTGCAATTGGAAAGAAAATAGAAAAAGTATTTGATGTATACTTCACTCGACTTAGGTAGATATAGTTCGGTTCGTAGAGTTTTATATTTTGTAATTGAATTGTCGTGATTACAAGTCAGATATCTAACTATTTAAGTGTTAATGATAGTATTTTGTATATAAATTGTTAACATTTTTTTTTTTTTTTAAGTAATGACCAAAATGATCAAAATATATCATTTAAAAACTCTATCGAGATGTAATAAAATTTTTTATAATTAATATGGTTTTTTTTTTTTAATTTTTAAAGAAGTACGAGTTTTGACCAAAAATAAAAAAAAAAAAGCATAGTTTTTTTTTAATAAAGAAAAATAAAAGTTTTTAATTAATAATTTTTTATAATTATATTTGTTATAATAATGTTTTCAATTAATATATTTGTTATATTTATTTTTTATAAATTAAAAAAAATTAATAATCCAGTTATTTTCACCCCAAGTACTGTCCCAAGCTAGGTACAATCCGAGATTAATGGTAGTTTAAATGTGGGTTGGATATGTATTTATATATGTTTAATTAATAAATAAAGTAGTTAATGAAAGAGGAGGAAGAGGAAGGAAGTAGAGTACAAGGCTAAAACTCATTTCAACGATATCCATACATCCAGTCATACGTGATACAAGTAGTAGAAAACTATATGAGCAATCCAGAGTGACTCGTCAGCTCTGAACTTCCATAAACGACGTCGCATCTACCTTTATTTTTTCACTATTATTATTATTATTATTATTATATGACGATGCATGCATGCTCTTCTAATCTCTTCTCATGTCTACTCGATTTCTTCACTTGATTCTGCACCACAAAAACAAGCAAAACAAGAAAATTAGATACACAATGGACCGTTCATATATATTTATGTACATATATATATATATATATATATATATATCTTCATTAAAGATTTGAGTAGGTACGTGTTGCAGTTGGTGCTGGTGCTGATCTTGTAGGGAATGCTGACGCCGCACTTGCCTGGAAGACTAGCAGCAATGTTCTGATCAAAGTTGGTAGACCTGGCCGCATTCTGCAGACACTGGCAAGCGGCTCTTCGATCCGGCGTCGTTTGGGCTGCGCTGTTAAGGCTCCTGACACCGGCGCAGCATGCTGCCGGCGGAGAATTACCAGCTTGGCCTTGCAAGTAAGTTAGACATGGCCCAAGCGCAGACGCTACTTGGCCGCACGTCAGAGCCTCGCTGGTCAGAGCCCCAGCCACCACGATAAACAACACCAACCCAAAAGCCAACTTCACGTTCGCCATGCTTATCTCTGAATTCCTCACTCTTTTTCTCTCTTTCCCGATTTGTAGCTGCGAGGAAATACGAGGGCTTGCAGGGTGTTATATAGAGAGTGGAGAGTGCGTAGAAGAAGTACGAAAGTCGAGTGATGAGAAAAGAATAGGTTAGTTGGTGGTTGGGCTAATTTTTAATTTAATAAGTTGATGCACATTAATTAATTTTTGGAATTTATAAGGCAGGATGGTACACGTGGCAAATCAATATTTAATCAACAATTATGTATATATATTTTTAAAATTTTGTACTCAAACAAGTAAATTGTAGCCAAGTATACAATTACACTTTAAATTTTAGAAATCTATCAAATCATGTACATGATTTTTGACGTTCTATAAATATTGGACCACTAATCAATTTTAATAATTTATTTTAAATAGAAATTTATAAATTCAAAATAACCGAGAATCATGTTATGAACCATAAGTCAATGGTTATTGCTTTCTTTTGAAATCACAAACATGCAACCAAATGAAAGTGAAATAATATGAAATAATAACTCGCAATTTATATAATTTATGAAATTAACACGTACTTAATATTAATTATAGTAAAATCTCATATAGAATTATTTTTTAACAAAAATATTTTTGTAATTCAAAATGTTTATTTTATTCTTTTAAGTTCTCTAACTATTCTTGCAAAAAAAATTTAACCCATTCAATATCTTATATAAATATCATACTTTTACCAATAACAATTACATTATCTTAATTAATTTATAAGGATATTATTTTTGTTACAGTCTTAACTATTAACAATGTTATTTTTTTTTTTTTATAATGATAAAAATTATTAAACTAAATTTTTAATTCAACGTAATTATTTTAATAAAAAGATATTTAATTATTACATAATATTTATTTCAGCGGCAATTTCATTAATATATTAAATATTTGGTCTCATTGTTTTATAAATTTCCTTATATAATTATTTTACTAACCTTTAATTTGTCGGTCCATGCCGTACACACAGCAACCCAACGAATAAAATATCAACACGTGGAGGAGCGAGCGGCCATACATGAAATTTATAGCTCTCCGTGTCTGTTTTGGTAGGCAGTTCAATTGATGTCGCCGACAATTAATTTGAAATAAATAAATATTATTATGTGGCTGGGTTCGCCCATTCAAAAACTGGTAAGACCGTGTTCGTTCGTATTGGAGGAACTGAGTCTGGTGACTCGTTCTACGTTTGGTTGAATTTTTGTTACTTGGATGAATTACACTTTCTTCCACCAATTAGTTGAATTCTAAGTATCTACTTCTCGAGTCCATAACGGTCCCAATGCGCTGAGAAAATCTAACGCCTTCCTGCATATTCCGCTTATCTTAAACCAATATTTTTTGAAGTAACGATCAAAACATGTCATTAAAAAATTATAATAAATTTTTTATAATTAAAACAGTTTTTTTCTTTTATTTAATTTTGCCAAAAATTAAAAAGTTCGAGATAGATATATTTATTAAAGTCAATAATGTTTTCAATTAATATATTTGTTATATTTAGTTAATAAATGATTATTCTCGCACGAGGAAGGGTCCAAAACTAATTATGCTCACCCCACGTACGGTCCAAAATCAATGGTTAAAATTTGAGTTTAAATGTTGATTCAATACATATTTATTAAAACGTATATATATATATGTGTGTGTGTGTGTGTGTAGAAGCATTTAAAATTGAGTTATGATGAAAGAAGAAGAACAAGGAAAGAGAATAATAACAAGGAAGATTTGTCTAGTTAAAAATTATCTCAACGAAAGCATACAACCAGTAAGGGCGTCAAACAACACAAGCAAATACAAACAGTAAGAAAATTATATGAGCAATCCAGACTGACTCAGCAGCTCTGAACTTCCATAAACGACGTCGCCTCTATCTTTCTTTATTTTTTATTTTTTCATCATTATTATTGTCTTACGACGACGCCCGCATGCTCTTCTAATCTTCTCATGTCAACCCGGTTTCTTCACTTGATTCTGCATCACAAAAACAAGCAAAACAAGAAAATTAGACACAAAATGGATCATTCATATACACACATTTATGTATTAAAGATTCGAGTAGGTACGTGTTGCAGTTGGTGCTGGTGCTGATCTTGTAGGGAATGCTGACGCCGCACTCGCCGGGAAGACTAGCGGCAATTTTCTGATTAAAGTTGGTGGCCCTGGCAGCACTCTGCAGACACTGGCAAGCGGTTTTCCGATCCGGTGTCGTTTGGGCTGCATTGTTAAGGCTCCTGACGCCGGCGCAGCATGATACCGACGGAGAACTACCAGCCCTACCTTGCAAGTAACTCAGACACGGCGCCAGTGATGATGCTACTTGGCCGCACGTCAGAGCCTCGCTGGTCAGAGCCCCAGCCACCACCATAAACAACACCAACCCACAAGCCAACTTCACGTTCGCCATGATTATCTCCGAAATTCTCACTCTTTTCTCTCTTTCCCGATTTGTAGTTGTGGGGAGGACAATGGGTCTGCAGGGTGTTATATAGAGAGAGGGAGGTGGAGTGGAGTGGAGTGGCGAGTTTGTGGAGGTTTGAAAATTGAGTGATGAGAAAAAGAAAGGGTTGGTTGGTGGTTGGGTCAAATTTAAATTTAATGAGTTGATGGTTTTCTTCTTTAATTTTTGTGGGTCGATTGTCCGCCGTTTCCCCTTAGGATTTCGACGTGTGTATGTGTGAGTTTAAATTTGTGGGGCCAGAAATGATCTGGGCCGTTGGCGCAATCTAACCATGAATTTATTACCCCATCTGTCATCTGGTAAGGGCGGTATATTTCATTTAAGGGCAACAACTACTACTCAATTAATTTACTAACATTCCCCGTAATAATTTTGGTCAACTGTAAATAGTTACATTACTTTAGAAAAAGTTGATTAAGTCAAATTATATAATTTTTTTTTTTTAAATTTTTAGTAATGATATTTATTATAATAAATATATATTTAATTACTCAAACGTACATATTTACATTAAAAAATAATTACTTTTTAAAAAAAAAAAAATTGTAAGCTTGAGCTGGGTTCGGGCTCCGTCGGCCCAGTCAAACGTTAGCCTTAATTATCTAAGACGGTCCCCCACCCTGACCAGGCCACACCGCTCAAAATTCAGTTCGATAATTCTTTTAGTATCCAACTGGTCCAGTCTAGATCCATTTACAACAACAATATAATGATTGAGAAAAAATCATGGACAGTAAGTTATTATCAAATTTATTAATTACACTAAAATTCAGATAAATATATTAAATTCTTTATATTTTCAGCCTAATTATAAAATATGTCTTATCGGAACATGACACAAGAAAAATTCATATAAAAAAATACATAAAATACTGAATTAAATTGAAGATTTTTACCACCCAAGAAAAAGAGGGACCATGAAAAAGTGCAGTTGAAACATGGATTTGTGGAGGGGGAGGAGGAGGAGGAAGTCACATGGATTAAATTCAGATCGAAACGCGGAAATCCTGTGTCGTTTATGGCGAGCAATGGAATGAACGTAAGACAAAATTTGGTCTGACAAAATAATGCAACCGTCACTTTTACACTATTAGTAACCGCTACGTATTTGACTTTCAGCATTTTAAGATTCGGGTAAAGAGTGCATTCCAAAACTCATCACATTCCGACCCCCCACTAACTCATTAGAAGACTGCTTTCCAATTCCAAATTATACCTTTCGTATCACCCCAAAAAAAAGCCAAGCATGTTTATCAAAAAAAAAAAAACAAACTTCCAGAAGTCAGCAACATTTACTCTTTTTTTTTTCCGAAAAAGTCAATTAACAACATGGGGGGAGGATTGCTCAATAGTTGTAAACTCACTGTTAATGTTCAAGGTGGAAGACGTATTCAGTCAGTCGCTGAAGTTTGCCCGGATCTAGTTTCTGCTCTGTCACAAGTGGCTGCTTCTTCACGGTTAGCATCTGAGACGCATGATCCACAGTCCAACCTTGCTGTACTACATCTACAAGTAATGATCACCCGCATTCAGGGAACTATAAGAAATGATTACTTGCTTACAAATGAAAGCAAAACCCAATCACTGCATTTGGTTCAAACAATATCCTATTTTTGTTTAATTCATAAGTCTTAGCTATTTCATATGTACTGTTCTCTTGCTACCACAATCAGTTTCCGGCAATTTGCGCTGAGTTGTGAATTTTATATCTGACTCGAAGTCAGCAGCTAAAGTAGTAGCAAGAGCAACCCTCCTAATATCCTATGCGCATCTCAGTAGAAACTGAATACTGCTCAGCAACTAGGGGTGAGGAGCACTAAGCTTAAACATACATAAAAAGATTTAAAAAAAAAAAAAAAGCAGTGAAATAAGAGAGGTCTGGTAGGTTTAACCCATTTGGCCTCTGTTTTGACCAGTTAGTTAGGTTTGAGTCGCGGAACTTCTACGACCGGATAAATCAAAACCCACCTCTTTTAATAAAAATATAAAATATATATTTGTTACATTAGAAATGTACAAAAAAAAGAGTAATAAAAAACACCCTGACCTAACCCTAAGATACCAACCACCTGCCAGCTAAATTTGACTATGAACTCTAGAAGAAATTTTATAAGTTCTATATAAGTGGCTAAACACCAAAAAGATAGGTTGTCTTCGCATAAATTTCCTACCTCTACTTTGTCAAGTCAGTATAAGGCATGCTCGGCAGAGAAAAAAAATAACAATGATAATGGTACAAAATGCACAACTTAATTAGTGTTGTCCATAAATTGAATAAATAAAATAACAGCTCTCTTCTCTTTCATTGCATGAGCTCAGTTCAGCCTGATGCTGTCTTCAGGCCTGGTCAATGATAATAACAACAAAGACCAGATACCAACATAAACAATAGAGAACGGAATTTAATAACAACAGATATAATAAAATTAATAGCAACAAGTTTAAATACTGAATGTGGAAAGCCTAGAGAAGGAAGAAGATATTTCTGAATTTAATCCGCAATAATAATAACAACAGTAGACTAGATATCAATATAAATAATAGAGGACGGAATTTAAGACAACAGAAATAATAAAATTAGTAGCAACAAATTTAAATACTGAATATGGAAAGCCTAGACAGGAAGAAGATATTAATTCTACAGCATTACCGTAAACAAGGAGAGGTAGAAACTTACATTTGATTGCATCATCCTCATTCGTTCCCAAGAAGCGAGCTGCATCTTTGATGCTTATTGTCGAATAAGCAGATAATAGCAGCTGAAACATCCTTTTTGTGTAAAGCTCTATTAAAAACAGGCAGCCAACAGATATTTTCAGGAAAGTTCCAAGTATGTAGATCTAGTAAAAAGGCTGAGCTTACTATTTCAAAAAGCAGTCAACATGAAAGGAATACATACATGAACCATTTATATTATTTTTTTAAAGAAATGGAGACGTAATTATTCGTTAATCCTCATTACGCAAAGCAAGTCATCAAAACTTAAGTGCCAACAAATCTCAAACTGTGTCAGAATGAAGCATTCAAATGCTGAATAATTGTATAACCTATCCTACTTCTGTGAAGTAATCTTAACTGACTTCTTTTATTATTTCTCTTTCTCCAATCTAATTATATTTACTGCTTGGGTTTCAGCGTAAACACAGAGCCATAAAGTCACCCACCTATACCACACAGATAAACACGTTCGTTGTGTTTATATAATGACAAGAATTTTCCATATTCACACATAAAAACTTGTGCATAACTCCAGTCTTTGAAGCATTTAATATCTTCATTCTCTTTTAGTTTGGTCCATAAGGTATTTCGTAGACAAAAATCAAACTGTGTAACAATAGCATAATTTACAGATACTAAGGAATGCATAATTCATATCTCATTCAGTTTTGAGATAACAAAGAAGCACATATATGTCAATGTTCTTTTTTTGAAATAAGCACACACATCTCAACGTTATGCAAAGTTCAGAATTTTGATGACAAAGAATGACAAGAATTCCCTTATCTAATACAAGCAGGAGGAGAAAAAAATAGCCAAAAGGAAAAATTGAGGAACTGTAGTAAAGATAATCTCCACTGAGAAGGTTTCTTCCAATTTACTGTTGATACAATGACAAAGCAATCTCCACTTTGATTCTTACATGTCAGTTGGCACCAATATGTGAAATTTACTTCAAAGGGTTTGGCAAAAACCTAAAAGGTTGCAGGTTCATTTTCCTCAAAATGCCAAAGCCATAAATAGCATTTTTCTGGGTCTACCCGTATGTTTAATGATAATACATAATAAAAAGATGATTTGGTATGTTAATGAAATCTCAAATTCATCTTAATTGCATCAATCAAGAAGATTTCTGTTTTCTCCATTAAAGCGAGTCTGGCTATGACAAGTACTGTCCCATTAAATGCCACTGACATGATCTCATTCATGCCCACATTTTTTAACTAAGCTAGAGTAGTTTTGTAATGGTATTCATTGAAAACAAGAAAACATGCAGAATTTGTGCCAGCTAAACAAGCAACCATCTCCTAGTTTGGTTCACTATATAAAATAACAAACTTCCCTAAATCTCCAATAAAAGATAAAAATGGTTTTGAAGAGACACAAATATGAAGTCCAGAGATTTTTGCATAGGTAATACTTATCCATTACCCAAAAATATCAGTCTTTCAAATCACCAACCCACCAAAATATATTCAATAATTTATTAGTATACAAATGCAACAACTAACACAAGAAACGCTTGCCTGAAAATGCAGCAACTAGACCTTTTGCTTCCTGACTCCAATCAAAACTAAGAATAGCCTCATGTACGCCTTCATAATCCCGCATCCAGAAACATTGACAAATTCTCCATGCTGCACGTACTTCTGGTTGACTCTCCTTGATGGCTGAAGGTATTGATTTCCAAGAAATCGTGCACTATTACTGCAAAGATACCAATATAAAGACAAACATTAAATTCACAACTGCCTCCCATAGAGCCCTTCAAAGTCTGCTAACATCCAGA